ACCATCAAGTGACTAACCCTTAAGATCACCTACTCAATCAAGACGTTCGAAAACTGTGCTGTGTGAACCAGTTTTAACTCCGGCTGCTCCAATTGCCGCCTTTATCGTTAAGGCAAGAGATACGATGCCGGTAGAGTATATTTAACAACGGGTGGCTCTATTTTCTTGCGGTGACATGTACCGGGGTCTCCCCAACGAGAGCTTGGACCAGCCTTTTATCGACTGGGAATTGCGATTCGCCATTTCTGAGAGCAACAAAAGCAGCGCCCCAGGGCCAGACACCATCACACACACGCTGCTTAACAACTTGAGTGATGGAGCCAGACAGGAACTCCTTGGGCACATAAACAACGCCTGGGAGAGCGGCAAGTTATCAGGCCGCTAAAAAGAGGCAGAAGTTAGATTCCTCCCAAAACTCGGCAAGTAGCCACACATAGACAACATGCGACCCATCTCTCTCACGTCGTAGGCAAGGTGATGAAAATAATGGTGTTCAACCGACTTCAAAGGCATATGGACTGCTCTAAACAGATGCCGGACAGCATGTTCGGATTCAGACCTAAGTACACAGGACGTACAGCTGCAACGGAAAAAGAGTAGCACAAGAGACCGATAACCGGAACGGCAAAATCGCGACACGGGGCGCTATTGTTCCCGAGCTCGCCGATAGCAAGAGTGCAAGTCATGTTGCATTTTTCAATGTGGGGGTGGCCGGCAGAACGTTGAGGGATAAGATAGCTTTTAAAATGCAGGCTTTAAAATAAGCTGCTTTCTGCCGGCCGCCCCCGCGTTGAGACATGGAACGTGACTGTCACTCTCACTATTGGCGCGCTCGGGAACAAGAGCGCCACGTGTCGCGATTTTGCCGTTCCCGTCGTCGGTCACTTGCGCTACTCTTTTTCCGTTGCAGTTGCACTGTTACTTCTCAAGGAGGAAGGGATGAAGCAAGCCACGAGGCATTCCCCCAGAGACATCCTCGCCCTCAATCTCAAAGGAGCATTTGATGTCTCCTACGCCTGTATTCTAGCTAACCTGCTGGGCGCGGGTTGCGGAGAGCGGTCATACAACTACGCGCGGAAATTTCTGACAGAACGCCGGGTTAGAATTAAAGTGGCGGAAGAAATATCTTCGCCCATAGAGCTGGGAAGCAGAAAGACCCCCCAGGGATCAGTCATTTCACCCCTCGTTTTCAATATGGCACTCCTGGGCCTGCCCAGGGCGCTTGGAGCGATTGAGGGCTTGGAGAATGCACTCTATTCCGACGACGTGTCGCTCTGGACGGAGAAATCGGGTTCCTCGGGATGGGTCCAGGACACGCTGCAAGCAGACGCAGACGTGGTCGGAAAATGTGCGTGGTGATGCGGGCTTCGCTGCTCACCTCAGAAATCGGAGCTGATAATCGTCCGGCCTAGGGCGCCAAACGCAAAACACACGGAAGGGAGGAAGGTGTTCCTAAAGGACAAGGACATTGTTCCCGGTCCCAGCGTCAAGATCCTCGGCCTTACCATTCAAGCAGACAACAAAGAGACGACGTCCTTGCGCAAACTCAAGCACACGTCGGTGCAGATCCTCTACATGCTTCCGCGGGTCGCAACAAGGCAGAGAGGCATGAAGGAGGTGACACACTCAAACTGGTGCAAGCCTTCATAATCTAGGGAGTCACGTACGCAATGTCGTACCTCTTAGCAACGGAAACACGAAGCAGGTGGACATAATCACCCCGAAGCCAGTCAAGCAGGCTATTGGATTCCCCGTGAGCGCCGCAATCAACAAACTTCTAGAAATGGGAATACAAAATACAGTGGACAAACTGATTGAGGGGCACCTATCCAGCCAAAGGCAAATGCTGAGCCAGACGCAAACAGGAAGACAACTCCTACGGAAGATATGAAACAATGGTGCAGAACTGGAAGAGAGAGGACAACCGGCAGATGATTGGCAGGAAAAGATCAATACCAAGCCCATCCTAAAGAACATTAATCCTGCTTGCCATGATGGTAGAAGAAACGCCAGGGCTCGGGCTCCAACCAGACAGCTAGGGAACGGGGAGAATGTCGTTTACACAAACGTGTGAAGAGAAGACGCTAACGGGTGTGTCTGCGGAAATAAAGGTCTAGAAGAGGCGGAAGAAGTGGTGATCGCTTTGACCATCACTCTGTCAGGTTGAACCAGGGTTGTCACCGACTCACAGCAAGCATACCGGAGGTTGCCCTATTGAAAATAAATTCTAAAGGGCCAAACACATTTGAAGGATTATGGGACCTCGCAGGACTTCAAAACCATTTAAAACTACCCTTCAAGTATACCCCTAAGAAAAAACCCTCCAGCCCCACAGCAATTCAACCCAAATCCCTTAGCCCATCAACCCTTTAGACGCCCGAATGACTGTGAACCATAGACAAGAGTTCAGTTCAAGACGTTTTCTAAATTTATTGCGGACATTGAGTATTACATGCGTATTACAACTGAAAAAGACGAAAAAACCCAACGCTTGTTCAAACCCGGGCGCAAGCAGCTCTCGACGAAAGAGATCATATCAAATAGGAACGACTGACTTCTTTATCACAACAAAAAATATCTTTCAAGTACTCACAATGCCGTTGGGTAAATTCCTGATGTACGGTAGTTCAGCTAATAAAACGAAGCAGGTGCACCTCACGTACAGATACAAAGTCTCAGTAAGCACATTTAGGGAAAACCACGAACTCGCAAGCAGATCCCGTCACCGTTGAAAAATTCCGAGCTCAGTCACGGTTTCGTCCATGATGTTGTCGGGGCGGCGTCTTCGGCGTATTTTTCGCTCGCTGGATGCTTCTAAAGCCGGTCGGACGAAGAGGCGCAAGGAACAAGGCGGGACAGCGGCCGTCATCCACCGTCCCAGGGCCCACAGTGCTATGATCCCGGTGCGCACGGACTACATGCGGTGGGACGCTGATCATGACTGCCAGGCTTGCTGCGACTAGGCCGACACTGGCCACCATCTCCTTAAATGCGCTGAACACGATGGCACTCGAGCGGTGCTGAAGGCGGCCAACGCCGAACTGGAGTTCACCTGCGGAACCAAGGAAGAAACGGCACGGATTAAAACAGACCAAGGGGCGAGCCCTCAAAGCAGTGCTTACCTTTCTGGATGGAGAAAATTGGTCCGTTCCAGATCTCCATGGCGGTGAGAAGCAAACCGCCCACGAGCGGAAAGAAAATGGCTATAGCGGCCTCCTGACTTCCTCGGCTTCCTCACACCACTCTCTCCAGCTGACTATTGGAGAAGCATGCTGTCCCTGTCCGGCCCTGGCGGTATTGCACCCTCTGGTCCCACTCCCCATTGCCGGGCGGAGAGAAGCACAGTGTGTGTGTGTGTGTGCAGGCGTTGTAAAAGTGGGGGGGGGGATATGGAGTTGCCTGTTCGTGTTATTGACGACGACGCAAAAGAGAGGACTTCCGACTCTGGTGAAAAGCAAAATGGTTTTGTTTATTTTTTTTTCTTTTTCGGGGACCGTCCCTCGCGCGGAAATCGGTTCGCGGGACGAGTCGCTGCCGCTTCGCCCTCAGAACCTCCCCAGCGTCCCTGAGTTTGGGAAACGCGCTGCTCTCGGCTTGCTTTTTTTTATTATTATTAGTGCAACAAGTAAAGCTTGTTCCCCTCAAAACGCCGCTCGGCCAAAAGGCCCGCGCCTTGTCAATTCTCAACATGGAGCGATCGAACACGTAAATCCCTTGGCGACCGAACACCCGGCCAGTGACAGACGTGTCGAGGAGCCCAGTTGTGCCTGATAGAAGAGCAGTAGTAAATAAACTGACCGTACACACATACCATCGACATTCTCCAAATATTTATTGGTTTTCCCTGTGCGAACAATACGTAGCTATGTTCTAGTTCTGCGAAATGTGTTTTCTCTAACTAGGCCATGGCCCCACAGACATCTCAAGAAGACTGAATGCTGTCCCGACTCCATTAGAAAGGTTGTGACAGTGACAGTGACAGGCTTTCAGACATTTAAAGGCATTGTAAAGGAGACTTCAGACATTTCAGGATAGCCTCTGACGGGGCCAACGAACCCACCAGGAAATATCGGTGCACCCTTCAAACATCACAAGAATTCCTGAAGTCTCCTTCACATTCATTAAAGAATTCCTGAAGCTCCCCCAGAGCGATTTTCAATAGGGTGCAGTCTAGCTGGGTGTCCCTAAAAGTGCTGCGGTTGCTGAAAAACAAGAGACGTCGAAAGGAACTCATACAAGTTGCATGGGTACCTGCCCACTCCGCGGTGGAGTGCTACCTACTTGCTCACCAGCAGGCGCGGGCGCTGACTTACCGGGCCACAGCCGTGGAAGAGGTGCAGAATCAACCCACGAGGACGTACAAGGAAACAATCACATTCTACCGCAAGGAAAGCCAAAGACTGCCGGCCCCGCATCCTAAGTTAACGCGGGAGGAAGGTAGCGTATAGGAAAATTCAGTCGGGGTCCCTCCCCCACCCCCTTTTAACCAATGGCATGTTCCTCTCTTAAGACGGTGGGAACTGGCCAATGGGCCAGGAGATGGGAACCCTCCGTCCCATGGTAGGCGAGTGTAGATTTAACCAGGAACACCCATCACCCCTATCCTTCCTACCCCCCCTACCCCTTGTAAAGCAATGGGTGAACTTGCTGCCCAGACCCGCCCTGAAAGACCACTTTGGTTGGTCACCAGGGGCCAGGCCGCTAAGGCACCATATGAAATCTCGTGAAGAGGGAACTACTTCCATCCGGCAATTGCCACCGTGCTGAAATGCTCAGAATAAAAGTTTATTCTTTCTCTCTCTATTTTCTTGTGTGGTAGGCTTAGGGAATCCCTGCACTACAAATGTTGCGAAACTTGAGAACCTTGAGCACGAAAATGAAAAAAGTGCATAAAACACTTAAGCACCAATGTCCATTTTAATAAACAAATTAAGTATGAAAAGTGAAGTTATTGCCCTATTCATGACTTCGTAATGTATAAAAAAATGAAGGTGCGTCTTCCGTGATGATTCACCTGTAAATAAATTAAGGTGTTTAGACACTTTCTCATTGAAGATATATGACACTCACATGCGAGTAAATGCGGAAATTTCTATGTTTTTGTGTAATTTTTTACCACTAGCTCTGAAAGATATGGGTCATTACTAGATAAAGCCATCACGAACGTTCCATTGAGATCGGTTGCTTTTTCAATATGAACACTCAAATTGAGAAAGGCGACCGTAATGTTTAACTTACCAAACGAGATCAGGCTGGTCTCGCTTGGTGAACATTCTCACGACACCAAAGTTATGATATCACGGCTTGTGGTTGACTAGTGTAACATTTTTATAGCCTCATTATAACTCACACATAGACGGCAATTTTATAGTATTAACGTCGTATACGTTAGTGAATTATATGAAGACAAAAACCGACACGAAAACGAAAAATGTTTCTGCCCTGCAATAAGTAGGGCAGAAAAACAATTTCTGCCCTGCTTATTTGCAGACTACTTCGAAATGGCAAAATAGTTCGATGTCTTTTTCTGAAGGTCCTAATCCATTGAATTAATTCAAACAAACCTCGTTTCTATCTTTAGCCCTTGGTTGTAGCATTACAAGTAACCCCCCCCCCCCCCCCCCCCCTTTTGCTTTTCTGTCCCTAGCCAAACACTGTTCTCTTGCAAGGCGTTGTGAAGACGGCCTTTTTCTTGTGAGGAATATTGAAAATGACCAGAACACATCCAGCAAGCGTATGCCTTCGATTTTAGGTGCGTACATGAATGGATGATACTGGCTGTACCCTTTGTGCGATGAGGTATAAATTGTGTTAAATCGTCTACTTTATTAACTTTGTGCATTATCACACATCTCTAGACCCTCTCAACCAATATTTTACCTACATTAATGTGATTATATTATTTATGTTTTTTTTCTCTATGCTAGGAATACCAAGCGCTCCCGCCAAACACTTTACTCCTCAAGGTAGGGCAAGACGAATCCTCGTGCACTTCTAAGCCGCATGTTATAGCGTATCGTTATCCGTATGGCATAGGGCACATACGAGGTGTGATCAAAACGTCCTGAGACTGATTTTGTAGCGTAAAAAAAGAGGACAGCACAGTGATGCGCGCGCAACAGTCGAAGGCATGGATCTTTCTCGGTCATTTTTCCAAAAGCTGCCGCTTTTTGAACATTTGAAACTGTGCTACACGAGTATGTTTGGCCACACGCACGAGCATAATGGCGATGTCCCCTTAGACTGCTAACCAAAGCGTGTGCGAACATAAATTTTACTCGGCAAATGTATAACAGAGACTTTCAAATTGATTTAAAATCCTTACGTCAAAACGCAATGAGGTGTGCGAAGTGTTTTGAGTGGCACTCGCGCCTCAAGTATGGCAGAACGTCACTGATGTCAAGCAGAGGTCGGACAAAGTCGCCCTACCGCTCTTCGTCTTCCAACGATGCTCTGCCATTCCTGAAGAGCGGGAGTCGCTGTAAACACTTCGAAAATTCACGGCTTTCTGACACAAGCGTGCTTAATCATTTTAAAGGTATACGTTTTATAATTGCCGAGTTTGACGCAGAACTGATGTTCACTCTCGCTCTGGTTTGCAGAGCGAGAGTGAACATGCACATTGTCAAAAAGACTTGTGTAGCAAAGCTACACAAGTCTTGTGTAGCTTTGTGTAGCTTTGACCATCTGCCCGTGCACATGGTCAAAAAGACTTGTGTAGCAAAGCTCCAAAGGTTGACAGAGCAACGCTCTTTGGCCGAATAACGCAGGAACGTCCCTGTCTCCGACAGCTGCACGGTCCACGCACTGTTCCTGATCGTGACTGATTGTTATAGCGCCTTGTTCACCGGTCTGGAAGCTCGCATTCGATTTATCTTTCCATCTACCTATCTTTCAAAGCCAAGGATCTGTAAATAGAACAGCACGTAACAATGTCGATTAATATTTCTCTGCTATGTGTGTCAAATCGCTGAACTTACTTTCCCTCCTAGTTAAATACCATTATGTCCCTCTACAAACTTCCTTCAATCCTCAAAGGTACTTCTGGGTATTCGCATTTTTTAACATGGCCTATCTCTAAGTATGACTTGTATTCCCAGGGGATACCTCATTTCGTCCTGAAACACCATTACTCCAGTCGCTTTACTATGAAAACTCAATCCCAAGATAACCCCTTTCTCTCCATACATCCCAGTTAGACTGTGCAATTTATTTAGGATATTTGCCATGAGTACTGTTTACTATGACCCCTTTCAAAAGCGGGGCCCCCTAGTGTGTATATAACAGAGTATAAAAATGAATCAAAAACGCAATTTAGTTTGAATGTAGATCAGCCGAATGCAACTTAAGAGGCAGAGGTTGCCTCCTACCACTTGCGCTCTACATATATCACCAAAACTTTGAAAACAAATGAGGAATTCAGATATAAAAAGAACGGTGGGCTGATATTAAAGCCTGGCCCACCTACATGTTCATTCAAGTAACAGGTATTTGGGTTTTCCAGCTACAGTGTGTACACAATACAAAATAAAAATGAAAGTCGTTTAAAACGAAGTGTGCCACAGCTCCCATTGATCTGCACAAATTTCTGGTAACACCGCTATTTTTACTTAAAGGGATACTGAACCGAAATTTCGAACTCACAAAACAAGGCTGGACAGATAGGCGGGACGATGCAAAACCCCAAAACATCTCTCATACAGCGATATCTCAAACGGATCGCCATATTTTTAGAAAAGAAGCACCCGACTGAACCCGGCCGACGAGGCCGACAAGGCAAGGCACGTCACGTTTCTTATTCCTTCTCCTTCTCACTACGTCCCGTGCTGAGCTGGTGAACTGAAGCGAGAAGGAGAGAGGCGAGGCCGCTCCCCCTCACTCTCAAATTCTCCCGGAGGACAGTGATGTCAGAGGCCTCGCTTGATGGCGCCCTTCTTTTCGAAAAGTGCGGCCATCCGTTTGAGATATCGATGTACGAGCAATGTTTCGGAGTTCGTAAAGTCCCGTTCAACGCTTCTAGAGCCTTATTTTGCGAAATTCAAATTTCGGTTCAGTATCCCTTTAAGCCCCGAATATTTTACTACCTCATCCATATTTGCTGGTAGGTGGAAGAGATCGCCGAAAACGGTTTGTGGATCATTTCAGTCTATCCTTCAGAGTACATTATGATGAAAAGTTTGATATAAAATGCTTTTTCTTTTTTGCCATCCGATTTTTTGCCCCCTCTGACACTGTACAGTGCCAAAATGCCAAAAGGACAAGTTCTCGCAATATGAATGTGGCTGCCACATTGCACCTGCAATCTTCAATATGCTGTCCCTTAAGTTTCTAGCGTCCATTAGTGAAGTTCCGGTGTATGATACGAAACCTCCAGCTTATGCTCCGTTGAAAGTATGCCACGGCTATGCAAGACGGTACGTACCAGCGCATAAATACATCCGCCGACGCTTTTGGCCTGGAGATGTAGTCGTAGCTGTGGAGTTGCTGGTGGTACCAGTCCAGCTCCGCAGGCATGTGGTACCGCATCGGTGTCGTTATCAGCACTATGGGCCGTGGGCGGTCCTCAGGGGAACCCTGGCGGAGCACAAGAGTTCCAACCAATGTCAGACGCAAGTGATGAATGCGCCAGAAGCCCATTCCCCACCCTAATTACTGCCAGCCAGTGTTACTCGGCTACGCACAAATAGTGCGATATTCTGCCCGCTCACGTCTGTAAGTATCGGTGTCGACTGATTAAAGGGGTGCTACGCTGCTTTCTTTATAGTCTCCGATTAGCTTGAAAATGTAATAAACACACCAACAAACATCACTGAGAAAGTCCTCTAGTTATTATGCCAAAATAATTTTTTTCGAAAAGTTATTGAAGTTCAAGTTTGTTCCTCGTCGTGTTTTTGTTTTTGTTTTTTGTAAGTAAAGATCTCTACAGGCAACAATGAAATAATGGCGTAGGTGGAGCGCAAGGGTTCACTATTTTAGTTGTAGACATTGTTTCCAACTGATTACAGGCAGAATTCTTGGTGTCAAGTAAATACTTGGAGAGCACGCTCCAGCACGGGCGCAGCAGTCCGAAACCAATTCTCGGCGTAGTCCCTTTTTCAACTGCACGCTTTACCTGCATGCCTGCCTTCCCATGACGTCACGGCATTGAAAAGCGCGGGTATATCTGAATGTTGGTTTCGGCATTGTTTTTACTTTATGCTTTCACAATAACTATTTTGAGTTTCGCGATACTAAATAGCACATCAGAAAGGGTAAACGCCGGTGTTCCGAAAGTAGAGTTTGTTAAGTTAGCTAAAATATCGCCAAAGTGCAAGGGCTGTCCAAACTGGACACAGCGGATGCCGTGCACGGCCTTTGCTGAACAGTAAAGGAAGTTTTTCATCCGCTTCTATTCTGCCTCGGGTAGGCTTGTAGGGTACTCATTACAAGAAATAAAGAAAGTTGTAACAGAAAGATTTTTGAGAGTAATTTTTAAATGCTTGAATACATTCATTAGGAAGTAATCACGAAAATAATCTGATAATTTTCGAAAGCATTAACTTACCTTTAACCGTCACTATATCCTCATCCCCTTTCAAAGGGCGCCCTTTGTTTTTATTAGTTTTCGACTTAAAAATCCTCGAACCAAGTCTCCGAAAGTAGAATGAATTAGCAACGTTCGCAGAATAAGCAGACAAGCAACTTTAATTTGGTCACTTTGAACCAATAATGAACATGAATAGCCGTTCTCAAACCGGCAGAAAATCTTTGTCGTTTTGAATACATGAAGTATTTGGAAAAAGACGAGCCATTTGCTTTCCTTCTCACGTATTCAATAGACCTCACTGGATCTTTTTAACTAAACGTAGTAGTAATCGTAATCGATGATTTGTTTCGAGTGACGCGTACAAGACACACCCAGAACGATTTTTTTTTTAAAGCGGAAGCATTAAATCTCTCAAGGAGCGAAGCCGGCGATGTCTGTAGCAGCGAAAACGGCCCCTAAATTCCCATTTTCTCATTGGCTGAGCGAAACGGCGCCTAAAGTTCCATTGGCTGCGACGCGTCAATACAGATGCTCCGTCCGGAAGCCGGCGAGGCCGCTCGAGTTCAAAGCGGACGCGACTCAGAAATGAAACACAAAGAAAAACACAGCAACGCAGATGCATCGTCACAGAAGCCGTGGAGCCGTTGGGGTTCGCCGCAACTGCGCAGTGGGGGAGCTTGATGTCACCAACGGCGCGCCGTGCGCGATAGGAATACGTGTCGCACTGCTTGTAGGAGTGCGCTGCGTGTGGGAATGCGAAAGCATTCTTAGACGTAAGAAGTCGTAAAGGGTCACTGAGGAGGTTTCTGAGATCGCTTAATTAGGATGATAACTCACTCCGCAGTCTCTAAGAACCCTAGGAATATTTAAATCACGACGATGCGCGTTCGATTTCCCCATTAAAAAACAATCAAAGCTCGAATCCACCGGGCTCATTGCAGAGAAGAGGAGAAGCGTGGTACCGGCAACCAAAACTACATATGACCAATGTAAACGCGACATTACGTGGGGCTTAGAAACGATGTTCTTATAACGTGTATAAGTTTTTTGTAGATAATAAGACTAATCGAGAGTATGAGAAAAAACGTTAATATATGACGAAGGGGGAACGTAATATTCCAATAATCCTCTTCGAAACCGCGCACTATTCTGTTTTTCGTCTTCCGCGAAAGTTATGTGTCCGGTCGTCTGCTCCCGGCCGTGCACTCGCTGGACTGGCTCAAGGCATCGGTCTTCCTCGCGCAGATTCCGCCAGAAACGCAGGTGCTTTGCGATCCGTGATCCGTCATCATCCGCGATGCGATGAAGTGATGGCGATGACCATTAACTTTGTCTGGGCGTCCGAAGTCGGGGCTACATCCGGGCTACCCGGGCGACATGCCGCGCGCGTTCAAGATATCACTCCAAGAGAACGCCGGTCGTAAACGCGAGGATCTTCCGCTTCCTATTGGCTGACAGCGGTTCTTGCTTCGGTTCTGGCTGACAGCGCTTCTGCTGTTTCTTGGTGTAATGAATCTCCTTCTTCATACCAAGAAACGGCGCATCACTTGCAGTGACATCGGCATTACGTCTGGTGGTTCTGGTTACGTAAACAAGCATCTGTGCCGCGCACTAAAGAAATTGCTGGGAATGACAGTAGCAAAAAAGGAGTGCAATTGGAAGTTCGTTTGGGTACGGAATGGCAGCGTTTTTGCTCGTAGGGCCGAGCAAACACCGCTTGTGAAAGTAACATGTGACTATTACAACAGACATTTTGATCCATTAGAAACATTGAAACCTGATTTTATATGGAAGAGAATCCGATCTTTAATAAACCATAAGCCACCCCAAAACGTACCTCGTGAAGTAACAATAAGCGGCGCTCAAATAACAGACGTAACCATGGCAAACGCATTTAATGATTTCTTTGTAAATGTTGGTACGCAAACGTGCGTGTCATCCTCCTGTATAAAAAAAAGCCCTAAAGTTCATAAAATCGTCGCAGACGAATACAATATTTTTGTTCCCCATTGATGAGGCAGAAGTCTGCTCAACTATCATTAATCTTTAAAAAAATAGTAAAAGTATTGACGCCTAAAATATACAGCTAAAACCGATAAAATATGTTGATACCATTGCACCATATCTGACATATATATATATATATATATATATATATATATATATATATATATATATATATATATATATATATATATATATATATATATATATATATTGTTACGGTGTTGTCGTTGAAGGAGTAGACAGTCTCTGGCGGTCGGCTTTTATTTGGAACTGTTGGGCTCAGCTCGAGCTGTCGCGTGCCCTGGCCATTTGTCTGGCGCTCTATATCTTCATGTACGTAACATTATCCCCACTTTTGTTTCGCGGTTGTCCCGTCCACAATTAACGAAGAATTTTTTTTTTTTTTGTAACGCGGGTGGTGGTGCTTTATGCTGTGGGTCGGGGGGTGTAGGGCTTCATGCGGGCGACGTCGACTACATCGAAGGCTGCTCGGCGTCGGTCAGTAGCGTCTTGCTGTTGCTGCATGTGGTATGAAAGGTCGGATAGCTTGCGCACGACTACGTACGGGCCAATGTAGCGGTGGAAAAACTTGGTAGCCAAGCCCTGGTGACGTTGAGGTTTCTAGAGTAAAACAAGGTCACCTATTTCATATGAAACGGGGCGGTGAGTCTTGTTATTATGTCGGCATTGACGTTGCTGGGGTGTACGTGTGTGTAGCCGGGCAAGTTGGCGCGCGTCTCCAGCACGACACACGAAATGTGCTGCAGTATCGGTAAGGTAGGAGGGTGCCCAAAAATGTAGTTGGAGGGCGATTATGGAGAAGATAAAATGGAGCATAGCCATGAGTGTCTTGAACGGTAGTGTTGTATGCGTAAGTAACGAACGGAAGAACAGCATCCCATTGGCATTGATCAGACTGGGCATACATGGAAATCATATCGGCAGTGGTGTGATTGAAACGTTCCACCAAGCCATTTGTTTGTGGATGATATGCTGTTGTGGTCCTATGAATGGTTCCACAAAGATGTAACAGTTTTTGTATCACCTGGGGAAGGAATACCGTTCCTCGATCGCTCAGTATGTGACGAGGGGGGCCGTGTCGCAAAATGATATTGTGTAAGAGAAATATGGCGACTTCGTCTGAGTTTGCGGACTGTAAGGCAGCGGTCTCTGCATAACGTGACAAATGGTCCACGGCAACAATGAACCAGCGGTTACCGTTGTGTGTAAGAGGCAGGGGCCTCAACAGGTCGACACCGCTGCGTTCAAATGGTCAGTGAGGTGGATCGAGAGGATGTAGAAGTCCAACTGGTGCGGTCGTTGGCCATTTCGTCGCTGACATTAGACGCATGATGATACGCACTTGGAGATGTCGAGGTACATGCCGTGCCAGCAGAAGGTATTGCGCACATGCATATAAGTTTTAATGAAGCCAAGGTGTCCAGCTGTGGGGTCATCATATAGAGCACCTCAGATATCGGGCCTGAGATGTCTTGGAACGCCAAAGCGCAGAGTAGGACCATGTGGGTCATAGTTGCGACGATACAGTACGTCATTCTGCATTGTGCAGGGGCCAACAAGCCGCTGTTCGTGGCGGGTGAGGTGGGTTTTGTTTAGACAGTGAAAAATATGTTGTAAGTGTGGGTCTTTCTTTTGTTCCAGAGCAAAATTTAAACTAGAGGTCAAAGCTATTGCGGCAACGGCAGCAGAGGGAGTTTCTTGGGAGGGTGAGATGGGACTCCGAGATAAGCAGTCAGGCGCGTCATGTTGTTTCCCGGACCTATAGAATATGGAGACGTCGCATTCTTGGAGGTTCAGTGCTTATCGTCCCAGACGTCCAGGAAGATCTTTCAAGTTTTATTACCAGCACAGAGCGTGGTGGTCAGTAACCACTTTAAACGGACGCCCAAATATATAGGGTCTAAACTTGCTGACTGCATAATTTACGGCAAGGTATTCTTATTCAGTGATGGTGTAATTCCTCTCTGCGTTGGACAAAGTTCGGCTTGTATATGCGACAACATGTTCGTGAGCGTCTTGC